ATGTTGCCCAGGCTGGTCTTGAACTTCTGGCCTCAAGCAATCCTCCTGCTTTCAGCTCCCAGAGTGCTGGGATTACAAGAATAAGCCACTATGCCTCACCAACATACCACATTTTGTTTATTCATTCATCTGTTGATGGATGTTTATGTTGTTTCCACCTCTGGGCTATTGTGAACAGCACTGCTATGAGAATTCATATGAAAGTATTTGTCTGAACACCTGTTTTCAATTTTGGGGGGCGTATATCTAGGAATGGAATTTCTGGATCACATGATAATTCTGTGTTTAACCTTTTGAAGAACTGCCGGATTCTTTCACAGCATCTGAGCACAAATTCCTTTTTTATTGTCCCATTTGACTGAACAAGATCTGTTGTTACATGCCAAGACTGAAACCTTTACTGTCCCCAGGGCCTCCAGCAGAATGTCCCTCACTCGTTTTGAATTGGTCGTGGGCTGGTGACTGTGATGGTGCAAACCATAGCCCAGGAATGACCACAGCTAAGAAGCTTTGCCCCCAAAACAGCCCCTTTTCAGCTGCTGGGGGAGGCCTGTCTGGCCAGTGGCTGTTAATCATTCTGTCTGTGCCTTCTGCCTCAATGGCCTCCGACAGAGCAGTGCCGAGAGGTCACTGGCTGGTTTGGGCTGAATTTCAGGTAGGGGCAAGGCTATGGGATGGTCTCTGTCTCCATAGATCCAGGCCTTTGGATGGCCTTTTCCACCCATCAGCAGGTATGGGAATGCCAAGTATAGGTGCTATGCTCTGAATGTTTGTGTCCCCTCAAAATTCATGTGTTGATATCCTAACCCCCAAGTTGATGGTATTAGGAGGGGGGTCTTTGGGAGGTCATTAAGTCACAAGGGTGGAGACCTCCTGAATGGGACTAGTGCCCTTATAAAAGAGGCCCCAGAGAGTGGCCTTGCCTCTTCCACCATGTGAGAAGGTTCCATCTATGACAATGGGATCCCTCACCAGACACCAAATCTGCCAGTGCCTTGATCTTGGACTTCCCAGCCTCCGGGATGGTAAGAAGTAAATTTCTGTTGTTTATAAGCTGCCCAGTTTCTGGTATTTTGTTATGGCAGCCTGAATAGACCAAGATGAGGCGTAACCATGGAGAGAGAACCAAGACCAGGACACTTGGGCTTCACCTGCCACCTATCCAGTATGTGGCATTAAGCAAGTCGCTTCCTCTCTCTGGGTTTCAGTTTCTCAAGTGACAAATGAGAGGGGCCTATTAAATGATGACATTGACAGTCTCTGGTCCTGGGCACATCTCACTCCATCCTGCTCCCAAGCTTTCCCCATCTCTCTGAATCTTCATAAAAGTCTAGGATTTTGCAGCTGGCAGAGGCCATGGAGATAATCCGGACCACCTGCCCTGGTGTCTCTTCTCATCTCTCAGAGCTCACTTGCTGACTGCTGTGTGCCAGGCAGCTCCTGGAGGGCATTCATGATCAGCACCAGCGTCTTCCTGTGGCTGTCCCAGTAGATAAAGCAGTTATCACTGATGGAGAGACAATGAGGTGTGCTCACCACAACTGGCCGTTAATGATGTTGGACTCCTCAGGACTGCCTGGGCTAGGCAGCTTCCTGTTTAAATGCCGGTCCTGGAGACACCCATTTCATCTACACCACCAGCAGCATTCTAAGTGCCCTCAACGCCTGTTGCAGCAGCTGTGCAGGAGTGCTGAGCAACATTTGGGGTGTCTTTTCTGTGTCTTTCTTATACACACATACACACACACACACACACACACACACACACACACACACACAGAGCTATCATGAGCCTTGCCCTCTACCTACTACATACACCTAAGAATGCCCCTCTCTAATATTTCATCATTTTAATCAAATGTTCACTTTTTCACAACATGTGTAAGTGTACTTGGTATACCAAAAAATGCTATAACAGAATAAGATACTTTGTTATTATTGCTATTATAATTGCCCGATCCTAATAAATCCAAAAGATGCAAATGACAACCTCCTAACTACAATTTCAAGAGGAGTCTCAATACCCAAACTTTGAATGTTCTTTCACATGGGAAATCTAATGCTCTTTGACTGGTATTTTAAATATGACATGATAGAGGCCAACACTTGGGCCCTTTCTGTGGGAGTGGGGCAGGCTATGGTTTGAAGAACATCCTGTTCATGTCATGGACCCCTGCTTTTTGAAGGGCCATTCAATTGCCTTATCGAAAGATGGGTGCTGTGTGATCCCTGGGGCTCCATGCCCCATCCCTAGGTGTCCTCTCAAGGAGCTGAGGTTACTATGGCTATTGGTGGGCTAACGGTTCTTGACGACAGGCAACACCAAGGGGGGCCTGGGTAATGAAGGGCAGTGAGGGGGTCAAGGCCCTGTGTGGAGAAGACTTAGGCAGTGGTGTTCCTGCTTTTTAAGTGCTGCTGATGTTGGCAAGGGAAGGAAGGTGACAGAGGAGGATGGGGTAGGGGCAGGAGGCGATGAAACGACACCTAAGTAGTTCCTACCCCGAGATCCAGGGTCTGTGAGTAAAGCTCTGCAGCCCCTGAGGATTTGGGCCATATGGTTTCACCCTGCCCTGGGAGGCACCCTTAGGCCCTCATCTCTTAAGCCATCTGCATCTCCCCAGCCAGGACAGGGTATGTGATATTCTCTGCAGAAGGTGGCACAAGGCAGGCACACAGTGCCACAAAAAGGCCTTACTCTTGATTGACTCATCGATGCTGTGTGGCATGTGAGGAGTGGGGATGGGTGCTGGAGACCCCCGCCCCAGCACTGTGCTTACCCCACTGGCCCCCAGGCATTCTGCCAGATGGGCAGAGCAGGACAGAGGTACAGAGAAGGTGAGGTGCTGTGTGTGTGGCTGTGTGCATTTGAGGACATTCATCCATCAATCCAATCTGACCAGGGCTGGCTCTTCCTTGGGCCCCTGATGTTCTGTCCCTCAGGCGAGGAATATGGAATGGCCAGGAATATAGACTGGCCAGAGCCAGCGGAATCTGTACTAAGGGGAAAGGGCTAACAGAGCCTGACAGTGAGCCGGGGGTCTGCACAATGGAGAACTCTCCACTGGTGCTGACCAGGAGCCTGTGTTGCCCTTTGGCCTAGGCAAAATAGACAGCTGCCTGTGTGGTAGATAGTAAAAATCAGAAAAGACTCCAATGCCCCTCTCAATGTAGTTCTCTTTTGTGCCTGATATCCCCTTATCAGCAGTTCTCACCTTTGGGTTTTAATGGATTCAAGTGGATATGTTTCTGGAGAGAGGGAGGGCATCACACATGAAGACCCTTCTCTTTGGCACTGTATTTCTCCCATGATAGAAGGGCCCTTAGCCCCCACTCCTGCTGCCCCCAAGGCCTAGAGCGGGGTGGGGGCAGGGTCCCTCAGTGGGACAGATGTGTAGAAGTCCAACCTTCTTGACTTCTTTGCTTTGCTGTGAGAGTCACAGCAGTGCGCGAAGGAGGGGGCAGGCAGGGGAAAGGGATAGGCTTGTGTGAGTGGCTGCTTTGAATTTTAATTCAATTCAGTCTGGCTGGCTTACTGAATCAATGTTGGGAAAACATAGCGTTCTCCTGGGAGGAGAGGTGTTTGGTATAAATAGAAGGTATTATCATTAAGAGGCAAGTGGGGGACGTCATGTCGCTCAATACAGCGCAAGGCAGCAGCCAGAGCCCCAGTCGTGGGCTGCAGAGCTACGAGGAACTGCTTTCGTTTACTTGTCCCCGGATAAAAAGTCTTTCCTCCATTCCAGGGCTCTCTCTGGTCCCTTAGCCCCTTCTCTGCTGGATAAATTGAGCCACCTCATTCTCAGGGGGTGCTCGATGGGGTCGTAACTATACCAGTGAACTAACCGTAGAAAGGGGTTACCATTCTCCATTCAAACTCTGAGCAAGAGCCTTGCCTTCCCTCATATACCACCTTACTCTTTCTAAACAGTTATATTGAAGTACAACTTACATAGTGTACAGTTTACCCATTTAAAGTGTATGATTCGTCTGGGAGCGGTGGCTCATGCCTGTAATCTCAGCACTTTGGGAGGCTGAGGTGGGCGGATCACCTGAGGTCAGGAGTTCAAGACCACCCTGGCCAACATGGTGAAACTGCATCTCTACTAAAAATACAAAAACTTAGCCAGGCGTGGTAGCAGGTGCCTATAATCCCAGCTACTCGGGAGGCTGAGACAGGAGAATCACGAACCCGGGCGGTGGAGGTTGCAGTGAGCCGAAATCATGCCATTGCACTCTAGGCTGGGCAACAATAGTGAAACTCTGCCTCAAAAAATAATAATAATAAATAAAAAATAAATAAAGTGTATGATTCAATGGTCTCTAGTATATTCACAGATATATGCAACCATTACCACAATTTTAGAACATTATCATCACTCCCAAAAAGAAATTGTATATCCTTTAGCTGTCACCTGTCCATCTCCCCAGTGCATGCCAGTCCTAAGCAAAAACTAATCTACTTTCCGTCCCTACAGAGACTTATTCTGGACATTTTATGTAAATGGAATAATATCATATATGGCCTTTTATGACTGCCTTCTTTCACTTAAACAATGTTTTCAAGGTTCATTTATGTTTTGGCATGTGTCATCAGTACTCAATTCCTTTTTATGGCCAAATTATATTCTACTGTATGGATATACTATGTTTTGTTTATCAATTCATCAGTTAATGGGCAGGCATGTGGGTTGTTTCTACCTTTTGGCTACCATGAGCAAGCTTTTGTGTGGGCATATTTTTCCTTTCCCTTGGGAACATACCCAGGAGTGGAATTGCTGGGTCATACGGTAACGCCATGTTTCATCATTTGAGGAGTTCCTTCTTGCTCTTTTTAAAAAATTATTATTATTTTTTCCAGGACACACAGATGCCAGAGAAATGGGGTCAGTGCTTCCTCCTCCTTGTTCTTAACAACACTCATCAAACAACTACTACTATTAACTGGGGTCCTGCCGGGCAATCATTTATCAAATACCTGTTTAGCTCTTTTTATGTTCCAGGCACTGTTCTGGAAGCTGGGAAGGCAGCAGAATGGTGAATGGTGAGTCAGCCATGTTGCTTCACCACTATGAGGACTTTGGCTTTTAACCTGAATAGGATGCAGGTAACTTGGAGATTTGTTTTTTCTGTACAGGTTTATTGAGATATAATTGACAAAACTCAATAAACTACACACAAGTAAAGTATACAATTTCATGAGTTTTGATGTGTGTATATGTACCCACGAAACCATCACCACCATCAAGATAGTGAACATCTTCCCCCAAAAGCTTCCTTGTAGTGCTTGGTAATTCCTCCCTCCTGCCTGCCTGTCCCTACCTACCTATCCTCAGTCAACCATTGAGCAAACTACAGATTCGTTGCATTTTCTGGAATGGAATAGTATGTGGTCTTTTTAGTGTCGCTTTTAAAATTTGGCATAATTGTTTTGAGGTTCATCCATATTGTTGCTTATATTAGTAGTTCATTTCTTTTTATTGTTGACTAGTAGTTCATTCTATGGATGTGCCACAATTTGTCTATCCATTCCCCAGTTGATGGACATTAGAGTTGTTCCATGTGGGATCTTATGGCGGATGTATGTCCAACTTTATAAGAAACTATCAAACTGTTTTCCAAAGTGATTGTATTATTTTATACTCCCACCAGCAGTATATCAAAGTACTAGTCACTTGCAGTTTTTATCCAGCACTTGGAATGGTCCATCTTTTAAATTGTAACCATTCTAATAGGTATGTAATGATATCTCATCATGATTTAAATTTGCATTTCTCAATGACTGGTGATGTTGAGTATCTTTTCATATGTTTATTTGCCATCTGTTTATCTTCTTTAAAGAAGTGTCTGTCTAAATCTTCTGCTCATTTTTTTAAGTTGGGTTTCATGTTTTCTTATTACCGAATTCAGAGAGTTCTTTATTACGAATCCTCTCAACAATGTTTTGTGGTTTCCAGCATGCATCTCTGTAGGATATCTGTGCTCCCACATACCCTGGAGTGGAATCACCACCTCCTGGGTGGGCTCAAGGCATGTTGCAATAGTTACCTGCTGGGCACAGTGGCTCATGCCTGTAATGCCAGCACTTTGGGAGGCCAAGGCGGGCAGATCACCTGAGGTTGGGAGTTCGAGACCAGCCTGATCTACATGGAGAAACTACATCTCTACTAAAAATACAAAATTAGCCAGGCATGGTGGCTCATGCTTGTAATCCCAGTTACTCAGGAGGCTGAGGTAGGAGAATCTCTTGAACCTGGGAGGCAGAGGTTGCGGTGAGCCAAGATCATGCCATTGCACTCCAGCCTGGGCAACAAGAGTGAAACTCTGTCTCAAAAAAAAAAAAAAAAAAAAAAAGTTACCCAATTGACTGATACAACAAAAGTTTTCTCCTGGGGCAACTTGCTGGGATCATGGAGATCCTTATTAATACACGGTATCAGCAACTGCCTACTCTTGCTGCCAGGGAGTACCCTGTGGCTGCCACAGGGAATGATAAGCCTTTCTGACTGCCATCCTACAGACCGGCAAGAGCAGCCCAAGTGCCTTGGAGCTTTATGGCATCCAATTCCAAGAAGCAAGGTTAACCCTATAGCAGAGGAATAGCTTTTCTTCACCCATTGCTAGGTTCACAGCTGAGGTCCCTATAACAAAAGATAGACCAACAAGAGATCTATCAGATCAATAAGAGACAAGATCAACAAGAGAAAAGCATAAAAGTATTTGTAAGTTTTACATGAAACTGATTACAGTTCATAAGGAAATGAAGACACAAAGAAATAGTAACACCTGTGGATTTTTAATGCTAGGTTTGATGAGGAAGTGAATGATGGTGGTGAAGTATGATTGAATTAAAAGTATCATCTAATGCGAACAAACTAAGGGAACTTAGCAAGGCCCATTTGTTTGGATCCCCTCTGTGACCCTTTGTCTTCAGAAATGAGGATGCTCCTTACCTCTCACATGAGGGTCTTCTGATCTGCTGTAGGGGAGGGTCAGAAAAATCCTTCCTAGATCAGATGGCCTGCTTCAGGGCAGAAGAGGGGAAGGTGAAAGTGATGTTCCTACTTCCACCGTTTTGCAAATGCCAAGATACCATATTTGGGGGTAGCATGCCCTGAACCCCATCAAGCCAATCTGGCAGAGAGCCAGCTCCTTCCTCCCACACGGCATTGTGCTTCCTGACATGGGCTCGTCAATGCAGCTCTGCTTGTGTCCCTTGAATCATTTTCTTGGCTACTACTATAACTTTTTCCAGGAACACACCCACAGATGAGAAATAGCTAGACCAATGTTGTTGATGCCAAAAGCCAAGAAGTAGTGGTGGCAGGGTGAGTCTGGAGCCCAGAAGAACTTCTGTGAATCTTCCACTGGGTGTTTCTAAGATTGGTCTACTCCCCTCCCTCATGCCCCATTATCTCATGCTGGGTTAAAGCCATAGATGCCAGGCTCATCTCCTTGCCTCTAGACTCTTATCTTTAAGCATTGCTGCACAGTATGGGCCAGATTCATTATCTTCTGTTACGATATCCATCATCTTGCTTTCCTATTCAGGAACGATCCATGGCTGGGCACAGCGGCTCACTCCTGTAATCCTAGCACTTTGGGAAGCTGAGGCAGGTGGATCACCTGAGGTTAAGAGTTGGAAACGAGCCTCTACTAAAAATACAAAAAAAATTAGCCAGGCATGGTGGCAAGCACCTGCAATCCCAGCTACTTGGGAAGCTGAGATAGGAGAATTGCTTGAACCTGGGAGGTGGAGGTTGCAGTGAGCCGAGATTGCACCATTACACTCCAGCCTGGGCAACAGAGCAAGACTTCATCTCAAAAAAAAAAAAAAAAAAAAAAAAAAAAAAAAAAGAACCATCCATGACTCCTCCAAGCCCTCAGGATGAGTTCCAAACTCTTGGCCTCATGTTCGAGAAAGCCCAACACCTGGTCCTTCCCTGTGTATCCCAAGTACTCTGCTCCAGCCAGTCCAGTTTTCTTGTGGTCCCCAGCATGCTCCTACCTCTAAGCCTTTCTCGTGTATGCCCTGTCCTGTCCCTCCCCACATCCACCTGCCCAAATCTCACCTCTCCTTAAATGTCAGCGCGAATCCTATTTTTCTATTACCGACAACTATGGCTGACTTCACCATCTTCTGTTCCTTAGGGTTAATCAGAGGTTTTATTTTATAATTTGCTTTCACTTTTATTAGTTCTATTAGTTATTTATTAGTTATTAGTTCTATTTATTAGCTCCATTAGCTCCCTTTTAGTGAGGCTATCTATGCTAGACACCACATATACACGACACATATACACACACACTTGTACTTTTTTTTTGCTTGGTTTGTACATGTTGGTTCCTCATAAAAGTTGTTCTAAATCAAACAGCAAAAGTCTGGACTCTCAGAAACTCTATTTGTAGATGCCAACACGGAGATTCAGAGAACCCAGGTAACTTGCTCACATCCCACAGCGAGTGAGGTTGTGGGTGGGCTTTGAGCCCATGCCCACAGCCTTCCTGCTCTCACGGCCTCCCATGGCCCTGGAGGATAGGCAGGTAAGAGCCTTGAGCTGCAGGGGAAGAGAACTGAAGCACAGAGAGGTTGCTCCCTTCAAGGACACACAGGAGCAAATGGCAACCAAACAAGGAAAGTGGGTCTTTCCATTAAAAAAAAAAAAAAACTATAGAAAAACACTATGTAAAATTTACTATTTTAACCTTTTTAAGTGAATAATTTGGTGGCAATAGTATAATCCCAATGCCGTACAAGCATCCTCACTATCTAATGCCAAAACATTTTCATCGCTTCGAAAGGAAACGTTGTACCCATTAAGCAGTCCCTCCCTGTTACCTCCTCCCCCAGCCCCTAATAACCATGCATTTGCCTGTGTCTCTATGGATGTGCCCATTCTGGACAGCTCAAAGAAGTGAAATCATATGATATGTGGCCTTGTGTATCTAGTTCTTTCACTGGGCCCTTCCATTTTAATGCTGCACTTGAGATAGCTTATCTGGGTTGTGTAAAATTATGTGTCAAGTGGCTGTATCAAAATGGAATGAACCTTTTCTCTTGTTGATCTCTTTTGTTATAGAGACCTCAGCTGTGATGTTGCTCAGCCTGGAATCCAGGTTTTCTGATGCCTATTGGTGAAGAAAATGCATCCCACTGCCTGCCCCAGTGCTTTAAGTTTGACCCATAGCCTTGAATTGCCTCTATTTCATGAGGTCTGTCTGTCTTCTTGCTTTTCTTCCAGACCCTACTCCAAACACACAACCCGTGACACAGAGCTGGGCACGTGTGGGCTCTCACTAGCGCTGGCTGAACTGCCTGCACCGGCAGGGCATCTGGCCTCCTTCAGCAGAGAGGGCCCAGCAGGCAGGACTCGGACTGCCTCCACTACTCCAGCTGAATTCCAGCACCCGCTCAGCCATCTCCAGGTCAGAGTATCAGCATTGGAACTTGAGTACTTCCCCCATGCCTGTTCTGCAGGACTTGGGACTTGTACTCCCTCTAAGGTTGGACCACCCTGAATTGGGGTTTTCCAGCTAGTAGAATCCCTCTACAGAAGCTTGAATTTTCCTTCTGTTCTCTCCTTTGCTCTCAACTTCTCAGCAAAAAGCATCACCTATAAATGTGAAGGCTGATTAAATCTAAGTCTGGGGCTAGTGTTGATACAGACACAGCTGGCGAGATACAGAATTAAATAAACACAAGGTCCTCTGCTGACTCAGCAGTTGGTGGACCGGGGGACAAGCCCTTAGGCATTCTAGAAAGTCCTGCCTGCCCAATGGTAATTTTCCCTTTCAGGTTTCTTACCTGGAAAGAAATTCCCAGCCACTCTTGCCAGCATGTCTATTTCACTAAGCCGGAGAACATATTTTGTTGTAAGAGATTTGAACATTACTTTCTGCTCTCAAGGGACCCCCCTCCATCAAATCCAATTTTCAGTCCCTGCCTTTACCATTAGAGAGTCTTTTTGGTGGAGCAAGGCATTACCCTCTCTGTGTTTTTTTAGTGTCGGGTAGAGGCAGTGCCAAGGGGTGGCTGGGAGGGTGGTTAGCTACCAGCTCCATTTCTTTATTTATTTTTTTTCTTTTTTTGAGAGAGAGTCTCACTCTGTTGCCCAGGCTGGAGTGCAGTGGCATGATCTCGGCTCACTGCAATCTCCGCCGCCCGGGTTCAAGCGATTCTCCTGCCTCCGCTTCCCAAGTAACTGGGATTACAGGCGCCTGCCACCGTACCTGGCTAATTTTTATAGTTTTTAATAGAGACAGGGTTTCACCATCTTGGCCAGGCTGGTCTTGAACCCCTGACCTTGTGATCCACCCGCCTCAGCCTCCCAAAGTGCTGGGATTATAGGCGTGAGTCACTGCGCCTGGCCTCCATTTCAAAATAAAAGCACTACACTTTATAATACTAGCACTGTTTTCACCCGAATATGCCATCGTCCTCCTTCCAACAAATTGCCCTCCCTAAATCCTTTCTAGATAGACATTCCATAGCCACACCACCCCTCTGTATGAATGAATTGATCAGGCCTTTCCCTTTGTGGGAGGCACAGCTTGCAGGCCCATTCTACTTGCTGAGTCTCTGCATCTCAAATTCTGGGCATGAATATGAGGTAAATTTTTCATCTCTGTCCTATATGCCTCTGTGCACATGCAACATGCAGGCTGTTCACCCCTTCCAGGCAGCTTTCAAACTTTGTTTCACTGTGGTCAGCAGTGGGTGTACATGTGTGTGCATGTACAGATCCCAAGTACAGTATTGGCTTGGGGTCTCACACCCCCTGGCCTGTTCCTTAGGCTTTCATAGTCCTACATAAGTGACTGATTTCCTCTCTCTTTTTTTTTTTTCGGGGTCTTGCTCTATTACCCAGGCTGGAGTGCACTGGAACCCTTATAGCTCACTGCAGCCTTGAATTCCTGGGCTCAAGCTCCTCCTGCCTCAGCTTCCTGAGTAGTTGGGACTACAGGTGCCTGGCACCAAGCCCACCTTGTATTTCCCCTCTTGCCACCTTACCCTGAATGTGATCTGAGATTCAACAGTTTCTTTCCTGGCCATTTTATTGTTTCAAATTGTTAGGCTGTTATAAATGATGCTACAATGATCATCTTTGTGCCTTCCGTCTGTCATTGAAGTAACCTCAGTGGGAGCTATACAGACAATGAAGGATGTTCAGAATCCAATTGGATTTAAATATATTCAAGAGGTGTGGCCCCGCCAGATTGGAAAAGCATGAAAAGAATTCAGAATAGTATTAAGCAGTCAACAGAGGACTTCTAATGTAGAGGGGAAGGATCTGGGTTGCCGGTGAGGGGCTGGTTTTGTAAACTCAAATCAGGCTTGATAATTGGGGAAGATGAAGAAAGTAAAGAAGATATAACCCAGAGCACAGGCTCTGAGACCACCCCATTTGGAGGGTTTGAACTGGGAATCACAAAGTTTAGGCACAACATAATCAGGTTCAAGTTATTTGTTGTTGTCATGAGAAAAACCTCCCTAGGGGTCTATAGCTCCAGATCTCATGACCCAGCCAAAAATATGGTCTATGAGCAACCCAGCCTAACAAGAGGGTCATCCAATTTGCTTGGAATGTTAATCCCAATTTCTTGGAATGGTAAAAATATATATTTTTTCTTAGTGAGTTAGTCTTTAACCCAGGGGAAGTTTACAATTAATTTTGGATATAGGCCAGGCTTGGTGGCTCACGCCTGGAATCCCAGCCCTTTGAGAGGCCAAGACAGGGTGATCACTTGAGGCCAGGAGTTCAAGACCAGCCTAGCCAACATGGTAGAACCCCTGTCTCGACTGAAAATACAAAAATTAGCTGGGCATGGCGGCATGTTCCTGTAATCCCAGCTACTTGGGAGGCTGAGGCAGAAGAATTGCCTGAACCCAGGAGGTGGAGGTTGCAGTGAGCTGAGATTGAGCCACTGCACTCCAGCCTGGGTGACAGAGCAAGAGTCCATCTCAAAACAAAACAAAACAAAAAAAGAATTAATTATGGATATAAAAATGCAAATCAAAATCACTATATTACCAGTTTTTTAAAAATTAAGTTTAGAAATAATCCATGTATATTTGGTGTTTTTAAAGTGCTTGTTGAGAGTAATTAATAGATTCGCCTCATGAGATAGTCTTTTTCTACCCCTCCCCTACAGTGCTTAAAACAATAACAGCATTAATTTTGCTCTCTTTATGTAGCAAAATTGAGGCCTGCCCCATTTCAAGGGGAGGAGAAATAAAGCCCCACTTCTTCATGGGAGGCTGGAAATATTGTAGTGGTCCTCCAGGGCCATCGGATTCCCCTGACCGTCACTTTGAGGCCCTTTAGGTTTTCATTAACCCCTTCATCAAGGTGCTTCCAGCCTCCATCTGCCACCCAGTCCCAAGCTGCATTGTTTGGGTTTCATTATGGTAGTGTCCCACTTCCAGGTATCTAAGTCTATGTCAAGCATTAATTGCTGAGCAATAAACCATCCCCAAACATAGTAGCTCAAAACAACTAATTTTTCTCACGGGTCTTCAATTTGTGGGGAGCTTGGTGGGGATAGGTCATTTCTGCCCCACACCATACCAGCTGGAGCAGCTTGAAGGCTGGGGCCTGGGTCCTCCGGAGGCACAATCACTCACAGGTCTGGCAGCTGGTCCTGGCTGTGGGTTGGGACCTTAGCTGGGGCCCTTAGCCAACAAATCTATACATACCTTCCCCACGTGGCCTGGGCTTCCTCACACCATCGTGTCTGGGTTCCAAGGGCATGCGTCCTGAGAGAGGCAGGTATAAGCAATATTTCCTGTTCTCACCATGGTGGCTGGGTTCCAAGGCCATGCATTCTGAGAGAGGCAGGTATAAGCAGTATCTCCTGTTATGGCCTAGATTCATGAACTACATAGCATTGCTTCCACCACATTCTGCACAGAAGTAGTCACGAAGTCCCACCCAATTTCAAAAGGAGGGAAAATAGACTCTTCCTCTTGGTTGGGGAGCAACAATGTTCCAGAAGAACATGTGGGACCAAGATGTGGCCATTTTGAGAAATTGTAATATGTCACACTTTTGTACTGGTCTGTCATTGGCTATGACCTACCCTGGGGTGGAGGGTGGTAGGGGGTGAATAAAACTCCCAGGTGCTTTCACCTGAGAAAACGATCTCCAGTAACTGAAAGGTTTTCTTCTTAAGACAATCACTGGTGGCTGGGCGTGGTGACTCACGCCTGTAATCCCAGCACTTTGGGGGGCCAAGGTGGCAGATCACAAGTTCAGATCACGAGGTCAGGAGATCAAGACCATGCTGGCTAACAGGGTGAAACCCAGTCTCTACTAAAAATGGAAAAAATTAGCCAGGCGTGGTGGCAGGTGCCTGTAGTCCCAGCTACTCAAGAAAATTGCTTGAACCAGGAGGCAGAGGTTGCAGTGAGCCGAGATTGCACCACTGCACTCAGCCTGGGCTACAGAGCGAGACTCCATCTCAAAAAAAAAAATGATAGTCACTGGTATGGGGTGTTCATAGTAAAGGCACATAGAAGTTGAGGAAGAGATGCTCAGAAATACTCAAGGGTAGGTTTAGGACTTATGGGAAGCATCAGCAGTGTCTGTTACAGGATAGTAAAACAAAATACTAGGCCCAGCATGGTGGCTTATGCCTGTAATCTCGGCACTTTGGGAGGCCAAGGAAGGCAGATCACTTGAGGTCAGGAGTTCCAGACCAGCCTGGCCAACATGGTGAAACCCTGTCTCTACGAAAATTACAAAAATTAGCCAGGCATGGTAGTGGGCACCTGTAGTTCCAGCTACCGGAGGCTGAGGCAGGAGAATAGCTTGAACCCAGGAGGCAGCGGTTGCAGTGAGCCAAGATCCCACCACTGCACTCCAGCCTGGGAGACAGAGTGAGACTCCATCTAAAAAAAAAAAAACAAAAAAAAAAAACTGGTGGTTCAGAAGTCAGGCCCAGGTGTAGTGGTTCACACCTGTAATTCCAGCTCTTTTGGAGGCAGAGGCAGGAGATCACTTGAGGCCAGGAGTTCAAGACCTTGCTATGGGCAACATAACAAGACCCAGTCTCTATGAAAAAGTTTTAAAAATTAGCCAGGTGGTATGTGCCTGTGGCACAAACAGGCTAAGATGAGAGAATTGCTTGATCTCAGGAGTCTGAGGCTGCAGTGAACTATGATCATACCACTGTACTCCAGCCTGGATGACAGAGTGAGAGCTCGATTCTAAAAAAAAAAAAAAAAAAAAGAAGTCAAGGTGAATTATATCCCTTCATGTGATCACAGAAGGCAGAGAAGAGGGAACCTGACATCTCAGTCTTTTAGGAAACATTAAGTGACAGAAAATGTGAACCCAAGATCAGCTTGGTGCCCTGTTGTAACTGAGAGTTGGCCTGACCCAGTGTGTCCATCTCTCAAATATTTCTGGTCTCTTCCCACTGAGGGGATGGACCAGTGGCTCTCCACTAAATCATGCCATCATTTAGCCATGACTTGTTTGGATCCAACATAGAGTGTAAATCAATCATTTTGTTTTTACACATGGTCCCATATGCACGCAAAATAAGGAAGTCTTTATCCACTGAACATATTGTTTAAATAACAGCTACCAAAATACATTTAAAGATCTTTATTGGGATACTAAGACTGTAGCATTTTGGGTATGGTGAACTAGCTTCTCTTGAGAAAACAATAGGCAAGATCTTTTTTCTAAGGGTGAGTGGGTGGAAGGGTAGAAGGTGGGCATGAAGTAGCTAAAGAGCACATGCCCCAGCTGTTCAAGCCAGGGTGTTTAATATATTAGGTAAGACGGTGCCATGGAATAGAATTTTCCACTATAAAAATTTTCACTCTATACCAAACCTAGAAATTTTTCTCTTACTGCCAAAACCTCACAGGCCCTAAACCCCTCCACCATCACAGTGTGGCTTTGAGGAAGGAAGCGAGGCCTCACAGAGAGCAGGGAAGGAGTGGGAGCCATTTCTAGACACAGAAGACATCCTTTATTCTGAAAACTGGTCTCCTAAGGAGTCTGCCACCTCCAGTTCTGACATCACAGGGAGATAAGCCTGCCAAGCTGCCTCAGTTTCCTCCATGCAATGGTGACGTGACTGGTCTGAAGAGACACTTACAGGGAAAGGAACACTCAGGGGTCACTGGTGCTTGGCTGTTTAATAGGCGATCCACACCTCCCAGCCCCTTCCAGGAGGACTGGATGGGCCATGGCACTCACATGATCTTACAGAAACATCCAGTGGGAGTTTCTAGAGATGGTCAGGCTCCAGCCTCTCTAAGGGCCCAGGCCTGTGGCTGTGACCTCCATGGCTAGATGCTGCCTATTTCTTTTCTAGATCAAGGTTCTCTTCTCCTGGTCCATCTCAGAGTCTTTAATGGAGAACTTTTAACATACAAAGTACCTTCTTTGAGGAAATTACTCATGTAATTCCTGGCCTCTGTCTCCTTGGAAAAATAATGAATGGTCCCAAACCATAAGAGAAAGCCATTGTGCAACCTCAACACGCATGTCTGAGTAGCACCTAAGGAGAAGGACCACCAACGCCGGAGAAATACAGCAGACTTTCCATTGGATCTCAGGGTCATACTTGGCCCAGCTGCTCTCTCTTTTTTCTTCTCTGGTAGAGGCCATGGGACCCTTCAGTTGGGCTCTGGGCTTTGTCGCTACAGCTGTCTCCTTGAGCAATGGAAAATAAACCAGATTTGGAAATGCAAGACCTGGGGACAAGCCCCAACTCCTCTCTTACTAGCTATGTAACTGAGGCAAATCCCTTAGCCTCTCTAAGCCTGGCTACCTATCCTCACAGGCTGGAGGTGGACCAAATGAGATAGCATGAGAAAGAGCCTGCTGAGTTCTAAAACTCTCTGTCTGGGCTGGGTGTGGTGGTTCACAGCTGTAATCCCAGCACTTTGGGAGGTCAAGGTGGATGGATAGCTTGAGGCCAGGAGTTTGAGACCAGACTGGCCAACATGGCAAAACCCCATTTCTACTAAAAATACAAAAATTAGCCGGGCATGGTGACACACGCCTGTGATCCCAGCTACTTGGGAGGCTGAGGCGTGAGAGTCGCTTGAACCCAAAAGAAGGAGGTTCCTCCTGGACGAAACAAAACTTTCTGTCCATATATAGAAAATCATAAGTGGCACTGGCTCAGCACAGGGCTTCAGGTTCCTCAATTTGGAACATTGAACAGATCAGGTTCTGAGTCCTCTGCAGGATCTTAAAGACAGAATTGACTATTCTCAGTTGATCCCTGGGCTTCCCTGGGGACAGGCTTTATAGCCTCACCCTCTTAATGCATCCATCAAGCCTCTCAGGCACACAGTATCTCTGAGCAGTGCTATTGAGGGTGGACTGTCTGTGGGTATGGGAATTCCATCTGGGTGGGTCTGATGGATCCCTCCTGTAACTGGCCACTAACACAGAATATAGAGAGCTGGCTTATGGAATTAATGGAGACCTCATAGAAAAGTGAAAATTGGGATGAAACACCAACATAGCACTGGGTGCTGAGACATGATCAGAGAACTCCAATTTGTGACTGATTTGAGCTGGGCCCTCTCCCTCTTCAGCTGCCCAGAGCTCCCACCTACCAGAACCCACTCTCAGGAAAGGCCTGCTGTCAGTCAGTAACTTCATCTCTGATGTCAGTAGAAGTCACTTGACCCTTCTCCTGTGGGTGTCTGCACTCTCAATGCAGAATGGAAGGCGTTGTTCCCAAGTTGAAGACCATCGGCCCTCAACTAGCATGTTAGGGATAATGTTTTGGGGCAGGCGGATTACACCGGTGTCCTTAAAATTCTTCCCTTTCTCTGTCTGAGTCAGGCTGAACTTGGAGAACCCTGAGATCTGGGCTGTGAAACGTCTCAGAGATTACTTTCCACTTTCAGATGAAAGAAACAAATACAGAGAAGTGTCACCTCCTCCACCCCTGTAGAAATGGGAGTCCCCCAGCCCCCCAAGGGTCATCTGACAGCTGTAAACACCAGCAGCTGAAACCCAGGTGGTGCGCTCAGCTTTCTGTTGAAAGGGGCACTTTAGAATGAGGCCTTCTCAAGGTCAAAGGCCTTGAGTCCAGACTGGGAGAGAGCCTGATGTGCAGTGTAATTTCAGGGGCTAGGAAGGAAGCCTCCTCTCCTACCACCCAACTTAAAAATATATATAGCTCTAATCTGATCCTTGGGCTGTGTTTAAAATGCAAATTCCCCTGGGAGGGTCACAGTACTTTGAGTTTCTGGTGATTTACCTTGTAATGTGAATGAGTCCCAGACCTATTCTTGGAAATTTTTATTGGAATAACCAGGTGAGCTCTGAAGGATATTGAAGGACAAAGCTAGCTATGGTAATGGAGTGCTGCTGGGGGCCAGGCAGGATTAGACACAAAGGTATATTTTCTCACGTTGGTCTCACAATAACTATGTATAGTTGGGGTTATCCTCATTGTATAAATGAGGAAACTGAGGCACAGACAAGCAAATTATCTAAGATCAGTCAGCCGGGAGTAGACACAGCTGGGACTGGAAGCCAGGTCTGCTTGGCCCCAAAGCAGTGAGGATCTCATGGCCCTACACTCCTCCAAGGCAGAGGAGAGGAAGGTGCTGATAGTATCAGAAGGGAAGAATGGGATCCAGACAGCAGATGAAACATCATCAGACTCTGAGCCTCCTAATGCACAGCTCCAGGACTTCAAGGAGAGGCTGTTCCAAACCACCCTCAAGGCCACCATGTGCCCTGTACAGTGGGTGGTGCTCTGAGTCTAGAAAGGAGAAAACCTAGGTAGTGGTTCTCAATATTGGGTTTTGTCAGGGAGCTTGTTGAAACACACATTGCTGGGCCCCAGCCCCAGAATTTCTGACTCAGTAGGTCCAAAGGGAAGGGTCAAATTTATAACTTCACAATTTCCCAGGTGATGCTAACCCTGCCGATCAGGGGACCACACTTTGCAAACCACTTGAGTTAGTGCCCATCTCAAGGAGTTTCTCTCTGTTGAGGTCAGCATATGTACCTGTAACCAGCAGAGAGGTTTAGTAGATGGGAGTGGGGGAAGCTGCTGTAATAAAGAGACCCTACAATAAATCAGTGGCTTAAAGAAGACCAAAGTTTCTCCCTTAGGTGACAGTCTGCAGTGGATGTTGCGGTGCACCACCCAGACCCTTTCTTCATCCATTTCCCCAGCTGCTGGGCACATTGGTTGTCGAGGGCTCTTAGCTTAGTCCCTCTCTGGGAATTGCCCTTGGATAAAGGGGACTGCCTCACCCAAGTTGTGCCCCTTTTGGGAGCAGCCTTCATCCAAAAAGGACTAGTAGGTATGGCGTAAAAATTTTCCATCCCCTTGCCTCAGCCTAGGACACCTTGGAAGCACCATCCCAGATCTAGAACTCCCCACTGGATCAGTGCAGGGCTCTTGCCCAGCTTCACTGTGGTTCAGTTTCTCCTGCCCTGCCACTTACAGGTGCTGCTCCTGAGAGCTTTACCCAACAAACCTCTTGGGGAGTCTGTTCCAAGTCAACTGATCTAAGATACAGTCAAGGTAAGCGTTACTGGTTGGCAGGTAACTTTGCTGCCCTTAGTCATTGAGGGACCCAAGTTTTCTTCCATCTCGTTCTTTATTATCCCTTCAACTTTGTCCCAGGTTGAAGCCAGGTTGCAGGCCCCTGTTTGTGGGAAATTGAAAGAGAATGTAGAGGAAACACACTGTGCCTTAAGACATTGGCCTGGAAGTGGCACACATCGCTTCTACCACTTCACTGTTTCTTAAAACATAGTTACAGGGCTCCACACAAGGAGGCTAGGAAACACCCAGCAGCTGGGCAGCCTCGTAGGCCACACCTGCTGCTTTGGAAGAAGGGTAAAAGAGAGGGTGGTGGGTGGCCAGGAGTCTCCATGGCAACCTCCGAATATGAACTTGTGTAGCCCTGACTCTGTTCCGCAGTGCTCGTTAGATGGGGCCGCAGATGTGAGCCATTTACTGGGCACAAAGACCCCTACAGCATTGTCATTCATGTGGAGCTACTTAGGCATCACTCACTAGGGACTGTCCATAAAAAGCAGCACTGCAGTTTTTGCACAATACTCTTGTGCTGGCCATAACTTGTCATTTCTCCTCTATTCAAGACAGCTTAGCTGGACATAAGTGAGATAAAGTAACACGACAGAGATAACCTTCAACGGACTCAGTCAAAGAAAATGATTCCCAAGTTTCAATTTTTTATTATTAGTCACAAATTACTTGTAAAAGTCTTCCATCTGATCAAGGCACGTGGTTGCCTGATTTTGCCTGTGCCCTCCCCACTTGAGAGCGGGGCAAGTAGTGTGGGTTTGACAGTGCTGAGGGGGAGGGCTGGCTTATTGCACCTGGATAGGGCAGATAACACTTGGCTGTCCCGGAAGTCTTGCCAAAGGCCCAGGCACAGGGTCACATCATACTGACCCTACCATCCCCCTGGCTTAGAGTTCACGATCCCTCTTTGTCGTAACTTTGTTGCAAACACCCTCAACTTGTTTGCTTCCCTCCCACTCTGACAAGCCCTTGTCTCCTCCATTCTGTGCCTGAGAGGCCCAACATTGCTAGAGAGAATCTTATATTTGGGCCAATTCACTTAATGTTTATTACCCTAAGCCTCAAATGTGCAGGCAACACCATGGGGCAGTTTTTGCCTTGCATGCCTCCTGAGGAAATTCCCTTTCCTGCACAGCTTCCCACCCAGCCCCCACATCCACTTTCCCTCTCCATTCCAGCCCCTTGCAGGTGCCTTGTTTTTCGTGGAGCAAATAGAAACCATTAGAGGAGACTCCTTCTCCAATCTCTCACCAATACCACCAGTGCCCACTGCACCTCACCCCAGTCTCTATTTTCTATCTAAGGCCAACCCCTCTTGGTCTATAAATCTTATCGCCAAGTCCTGAGTTTACATTGGCAGCCCTGCTGGCAGACTCAATTCTGAGCTGTCTGCTCAGCATCTGCACTGGGTGTCCAATGGCAGAGGGAAAGCAAGGGCTGTGCTGGGGAGCCGAGTGATGGGGAGAAGCCGTGGGAGGCCACCTCCACCAAGAGGGAGTGACCCACTGCCTCCCAAACACCTCTGATGGGAGGGTTAGGCAAAGCCTCCCTCACTTCTACTCCCAACAGGCCACATTCTTTGGCCTTGGAGCCGATGGCCTCCCTGGAGGTGACTTCAAGACTGGCTCTCTTCCTGAGTGGGTGTGAGAGTTGGGGCTAGGCTTCAGTGCTTGTCCTTCTCTATCTCAGTGGGTGCCAAATTGCCTGAGGCCCAAGCTGTGCCAGGGAAAATTTGCTGACAGGCCTGTGTCCCGGTGCTGCTTCTGGGGAAGGGAAGGGAAGCACCAGCTGGGTGAGGAGGGAGTGCTCTTGCAGAGGAGCCCCTCCCTCCTGCCCTGCCTGGGGGCTCCAGGAGCTCCAGGTTCCAGAGGCACCTCATTAAGAAGCTGCCTAGTGCCAGGTGAGGGGCAGTCCCTTTACTCACCCTGCTCCTGGCCTGTCCTCTCTCCGACTCCGGACACTGTCCAACCGGTTTGTTCGTTGGCCAGCATCTGGGAGCCAATTCAGGCTCTGACGTTTGTTTTGTTAAGGACTTTAAAATGTATTAAGAAATGCGCGAAGAGCTTTGTCATCACTTTTCCATTTCTAACATACCTGAACAATTGGATCAGGAAGTCTCCGCCTGCCTCTCTTCCTGGCAGACCACCAGAGCTAGCTCAAGTCCCAAAATGGGGCAAGAAGGTAGGGCTGTGTCCCCTTCAAGCCATTCCTCTGGCCAAATAGCCTGGGCTGTAGCAATCTGAGCCAGGAGGGGTGTTCATGGAGGAGTGGCTTCCCTCTGTTCTCTCTGTTTCTTCACTGAATGTTTTATAGGGAAGACTTTGGGATCCCAGCGCCCTGAGTGCCCTACGTAGCATAATAAAGACTAGAGTCATGAGGATGGACCGAGTAGGGAGAGCGAGGTGCCCATCCGCATGGGTCTCCCTGGGCCCGTTTCCATCCCCCACCTCTGATGCATCCTCAGACAGGCTGGAGGGCACAGACAAGAGGTGGGCCCAGGTTCTCTTAGGAGTTCTCCTTGTGGCTGTGGAGAGAATGTCTGATGTTTCTCTCATCTTAGCCCAGGCATGAAGAGAGAATGCTTGCCTCAAAATGAGTTCCGAGGCTTTTATGGATTCAGTTGTATCTCCCTCCAAAAAGGTATGTTGAAGTCCTAACCCCTGGTACCTCAGAATGTGACCTCACTTGGAAATAGCATTGTCGTGGATGTAATTAGTTAAGATGAGATCACACTGGAGTAGGAACGGTCCCTAATTTAATGTGAGTGATGTCTATTTTTTTTTTTTTTTTTTGGCATGGTCTCACCCTGTCACCCAGGCTGGAGTGTAGTAGTGTGGTCATAGCTCACTGCAGCCTTGAATTCCTAGGCTCAAGGGATCCTCCCATCTCAGCCTCCTGAGTAGCTGAGACTGTTGTGACATACCATGACGACTGGCTAATTTTTAAAAATTTTTTTAGAGATGGGGTCTTGCTATGTTGTCCAGGCTGGTCTCAAATTCCTGGCTCAAGCAGTCCTCCACCTTGGCCTCCCAAAATGCTGGGATTACAGATGTGAGCTACTGTGCCCAGCCTAATGTGACTGGTATTTTTAAAAGAAGAGGTCAGGCTGGGCATGATGGCTCATGGCTGTAATCCCAGCACTTTGGGAGGCCGAGGTGGGTGGATCACCTGAGGTCAGGAGTTTTGAGACCAGCCTGGCCACCATGGAGAAACCCCATCTCTACTAAAAATGTGAAAATTACCCAGGCATGGTGGTGCATGCCTGTAATCCCAGCTACTCAGGAGGTTGAGGCAGGAGAATCGCTTGAACCTGGGGGGTGGAGGTTGCAGTAAGCCAAGATCGTGCCATTGCACTCCAGCCTGGGCAACAGAGCGAGACTCTGTCTCAAAAAATAAATAAACAAATAAATAAATAATAGAACAAAATAAAATAAAAGAAGAGGTCAGAGTCATGCAGGCTAAAGACAGCCATTTGACAGTGGAGGCAGAGATGGCAGCAACACATCTCTCTATAAGCCAAGGAATGCCAAAGGCACCAGAAGCCAGAGAGGCAAGGAAGGATTCTCCCCTACGGGTTTCTGAGGGAGCATGGCCCTGTCAACATCGTGACTTCAGATTTTAGCCTCCAGGACTGGGAGATGATATATTTTTGTTGTTCTAAGCCACCCCGTTGTGGTGCTTTGTTACCACAGCCCTAGAAAACTAATACAGAGGTGAAAGCAGCTTCACTCCACAGCACCCATTTAAACAGGATTGATGTTGTCTGTGCACAGTCTGTTGATGGTCCAACACATCATCAGTCACTCCAGTCCTGAAAGGCCCTCGATGGAACCTAGTCACCATCAGGACAAGGGGGGACCTGTGTGTTGAGCCCCACTGGGATCTTGGGCAGAGATCAGGCCCCTGGGGTCAGGGTGGTTAATAGACCTGAACCCTAATCCAGGCTTTCAATATGCCTTCTGCAAAGCCACATTAGGGGCCACCCCTGGGAAATCTATAAGGTGCACTATTTCACTCACAGTTGATGTGCTTCAGATTAATGTCTCAGCAAAACAGCAGGTTATCAGTAAAGGTCACAAACCTTTAAATAAAAGGTTCACAGACCTTCAGAGTTGACTAGAGTATCTGACTCTATGAATGTTACATCTGTGAATGCTGAGGCTATGGCAATGAATGAGGTATCCCGATACATGCCGGCACGTCTTCATCCTACCCTAAATGCCCTGGTTGGTCCTGGATGTACAGACCTGTCCTTTTCCATGCGTCATGCTTGGGGGCTCTACCGCACAGCTCTCATGCACACCACCAACCCCGTGAAAACGCAACTGTCCCAAAACCACATCTGGCTAATCTGAGAAACAAATTCAAGTCCTCAGTAATAGTAATACGCCCCACTTGTTCACCTCCCGTACCCTGCTCCAGGCAACATTCCATTTTATCCTTACAATAACTCTGTGAAGTGGCCTGTTATCTCCTTGTTACAGATGAAAACACAGCAGCTCAGAGAGGTTGAGGAATTGACCCAAGGTCACACAGCTGGTGATGAGGAGAGCTGGAACGAGCCCCAGTCCATTTGACTGCAAAGCTGCAGCTGTCTCCACTCTGTCCTGATGGGAGAGTCACTCTGCCCTCCTCCCAAGAGAGCTGCCTACTTCCCGACAGAAGCCTTTTACAAAATCATAATCCTTGAGAATTTTAGGCAGTGTGACGTGCCATGGTTGGAAACTGTCAGAGAGGCGAGTCCTTCTGGGGCAGTATTTATACCTATGAATTCAGGAAAGTCTCAGTGCTCAGTTCTGGGTCTATTTTTAGCTCCTCACCATCTTGCCAGTGGCCCAGGAGTGGCCTGAAACTCCGTTGGCCTCCTAGGGCAGCACTGCTGAGTAGACTGGGCTCCATCTATTGAAATGCTCATGGCATTTGAGATGAGGTGCTTTTCTTAATTAATTCTAACCTGTCAGTTTTCATTT